CTGTTGTTAGATAATTCCTATATTTTTAAATTAATGAAGAGAGAGGCTGTTTTTGTAGATGCTTTTGAAATTGAGGTTGTAATGCTCTATGATTGTATATTGAGCACCAAGAATGTAATCCTCCTGTGCTGTAGAAGGTTACAGGGACTTTGGGTTCTTTTTTTTTTTTTTTTTTTTGACTTTGGGTTCTTTATCAGAGGATTAAATCCTATCAGTAATAAAATATTCATAAAATATAATAAGTTAATAGTGGCTGATAATTATTTAGCACTAACTATATGCCAGATACTTTGCTAAAAGCTTGTTTGATCTCACTGAATCTCAATTAACAAATTAGGTCAGTAACTAAAAGTATCTCAGATAATAAAACCAATCCTGTGATATAAAAAGTATTACTAATATTATTTCAAGAACTTGAGTTTGGAGAGGTTAAGCAGGTGTTCTTTAAAACTCTAGGAGAGGGAGGCCTGAGTGGCTCAATTAAGTGTTTACCTTTGGCTCAGGTCATGATCTCAGGGTCCTGGGATCCAGCCCCATGTCAGGCTCCCTGCTCAGCGGGGAGTCTGCTTCTCACTCTCTCATACTTTCTGTAGCTCTCTCTCTCTCAAATAAATAAAATCTTTAAAAAAAAGACAAAAACTCAAATAACATAATTCCTTATAAAAAGAATTATTTATAAGAATAAAGAAAATGGGAACTTGTCAACATTCACTGCCGCTTGGAATTCAAGATTTTGTTTATGTGACATAAATAAATGATGTTGTTTAGCAGAAGAGATTAGGATTAGGAAGAGATTAAGGGGTGGAAAGAGCATAGATTTGTAATTAGACCTTCAGTATCAACATTTAGCTTTAGTCTGATCTTGGGCAGATTATTTCATATCTTTGAACCTTAGTTCTGCTATCAGTTAAATGAGGATAAAATATAATGCCTACGTTACAGTGCTAAAGTAAGGGCTAAATTGGAAAATGTGAAAGCATCTACTACTTTTTGGTATGTAATAAGTTGTAGTTCAGTAAATAAACTTTTATTACTTTTGTTACAAATGTCCCAATCTGAGAACAACAGATATTAATTTTGTGGCTACTATGGGTAAAAAAAAATTCTCATATTTTGGTCATGGTAGATGAATGTAGCAATGTCTAATAAAATAGCAATGTCAAATCAATACCTGAATGACCAAAATTTATGAATAATTTTCATACAAAGGTTAATTATTTAACTTTCAGAATTATTGAGGATATTTCCATTGAGGAGTAGGAATTAAGACTGTGTATCTGCTAGGGGTCCTGGGTGGCTCAGTTGGTTAACTGACTGTTCAGGTCATGATCTCAGAGTCATGGGATCAAGCCCTATATTGGGCTCCACACTCAACAGGGAGTCTGCTTGAGACTCTCTCTCTCCCTCTCTGCTCCTCCCCCTCTTGTGTACATGTCCTCTCTCTCTTTCAAATAGATGAATAAATCTTTTAAAAAAAGATTTCTATATCTTGTAGTTAGCATTTTTTCAAGTATCTCTGGTGGTTGGCTATAATAATGAAAGAGGTAGAGAGAGAAATGAGACTCACCATTTTCTTCCCATGTTTATTACTACTTACCATTTATTAATACTAGTATATTGCTTCTTGCTTATTTCTCATGAATGGCCTCCCAAATCATCGTGACATTTCAGTCTCCTTTACACAAGTTTGAAAGATGAATACTCCTAAAAGTCCAGCTCTAACCATATCAAAACTTGCTCAAGCATCTGCAGTTTCCATTGCCTACCAAAGAAAGTATAAACTAGTCTTGGTTAGACTCATGCTGTAGACTGTTTCCCTCATTTTTTTTTTATAAATTAATTTTTATTGGTGTTCAATTTACCAACATACAGAATAACACCCAGTGCTCATCCCGTCAAGTGTCCCCCTCCGTGCCCGTCACCCATTCACCCCCACCCCCCGCCCTCCTCCCCTTCCACCACCCCTAGTTCATTTCCCAGAGTTAGAAGTCTTTATGTTCTGTGTCCCTTTCTGATATCTCCCACACATTTCTTCTCCCTTCCCTTAAATTCCCCTTCACTATTATTCATATTCCCCAAATGAGTGAGAACATACACTGTTTGTCCTTCTCCGATTGACTTACTTCACTCAGCATAATACCCTCCAGTTCCATCCACGTTGAAGCAAATGGTGGGTATTTGTTGTTTCTAATGGCTGAGTAATATTCCATTGTATACATAAACCACATCTTCTTTATCCATTCATCTTTCGATGGGCACCGAGGCTCCTTCCACAGTTTGGCTATTGTGGACATGGCTGCTAGAAACATCGGGGTGCAGGTGCCCCGGCGTTTCATTGCATCTGAATCTTCGGGGTAAATCCCTAACAGTGCAATTGCTGGGTCGTAGGGCAGGTCTATTTTTAATTCTTTGAGGAACCTCCACACAGTTTTCCAGAGTGGCTGCACCAGTTCACATTCCCACCAACAGTGTAAGAGTGTTCCCTTTTCTCCACATCCTCTCCAACATTTGTTGTTTCCTGCCTTATTAATTTTCCCCATTCTCACTGGTGTGAGGTGGTATCTCATTGTGGTTTTGATTTGTATTTCCCTGATGGCAAGTGATGCAGAGCATTTTCTCATGTGCATGTTGGCCATGTCTATGTCTTCCTCTGTGAGATTTCTCTTCATGTCTTTTGCCCATTTCATGATTGGATTGTTTGTTTCTTTGGTGTTGAGTTTAAGAAGTTCTTTATAGATTTTGGAAACTAGCCCTTTATCTGATATGTTATTTGCAAATATCTTCTCCCATTCTGTAGGTTGTCTTTGAGTTTTGTTGACTGTATCCTTTGCTGTGCAAAAGCTTCTTATCTTGATGAAGTCCCAATAGTTCATTTTTGCTTTTGTTTCTTTTGTTTTCGTGGATGTATCTTGCAAGAAGTTACTGTGGCCAAGTTCAAAAAGGGTGTTGCCTGTGTTCTCCTCTAGGATTTTGATGGAGTCTTGTCTCACATTTAAATCTTTCATCCATTTTGAGTTTATCTTTGTGTATGGTGCATGAGAGTGGTCTAGTTTCATTCTTCTGCATGTGGATGACCAATTTTCCCAGCACCATTTATTGAAGAGACTGTCTTTCTTCCAGTGGATTGTCTTTCCTCCTTTGTCGAATATTAGTTGACCATTGTTTCCCTCATTTTTATTGTGTGTATGCCCTCATATCCAGAGCTGGATCAAGGTATGTGGGCACACACAAACTACTGTCCTTAATCCAACTTTATATTGTAAAAATATTCATAAATTTATTTAATGGGGCTGGAGTGAAATAGATTTTTTTTATACTTTAAGAATTTTTTAAAATTTAGGAAAATACAAAGAATAGTATAACAATACTTTTATTCCTCTGATATAGAATTAAACATTGTTAATTTTTTTATCATATTTTAGATTTTTCTTAAAAGAGCCAAAACATTACTGTTTAAGCCTTAGGGACCTAAACCAACACCCCAGTTCAATTCAGCTTTCTAATTCTGCTGATGCTTCCTCTATGAAGAGTTTAATGTATCTTCTGTGTAAACAATTTTTAAATACTTTTACTTACTTAAATATGGTATATGTTGTGTGATTTTAGTTTATGTGTATGATACCTTATTGTATCTATCATTTGCAATTTTCCTTACTCATTATTTGAAATCTCTTCAATATAGATTGGAAATAGGTATAATTTATTTTTTTTTAGCTGTTACATAGGCCCATGTCATGAATAGTTCACATTTTATTTTTTTTTTTTTTTTTTTTTTTTTTTTAATAGTTCACATTTTAATTGTCTAGTCCCCTACTGCTGGATACTTAGATTGTTTCCTGTTTTTACTGTTAAAAGCCATGCTGTAGTGAATGTCTTCATGTATCTTGGAACACAAGTATGAATTTCTTCAGGGGTGATTGGGTGGCTCAGTCAGTGGGGCATCTGCCTTCAGCTCAGGTCATGACCCCAGGGTCCTGGGATTGAGTGCTTCTCCGTCTCCCTCAGCCTGCCACTCTGCCTGCTTGTGCTCTCTCTCTCTCTTTCCCTCTGTCAAAAAAAAAAAAAAAAAAAAAAAAAAAAACCTTAAAAAAAAGTTTCTTCTGGGTATCTTCTATGTGTACATACTTTTTATTTTACCAAATACAGCCAAATTGCTATCAGGAAAAAGTCTCTATTTCCTCCCATCTTCATAAAAAAATATTATTGGGTGGAAATAAAATTATCTTGTTGTTTTTTAAAAATCTGCATTTCTCTACCTTCCAGATTGTGACTCTTTTTTCTAAAGTTGTTGGCCTTCTAATTTTCCTTCTCTATGAATTGACTGTTCATATCCTTTGCACATTTTTTGTTGTTGAATTGTTGATATTTTCCCTGTCTCCCTTTTTTTTGAGCCTGAAAATATCTTTTTCCTATTACTATAAACTTTAGTATCTAAATTGTTTTTTTTTTCATTAAGCTATCTAAAATTTATGTCTAATCCAAATCCAAAGAACTAAACTCAATACTGAGTATCCTTATACATGGATGTGATGTGTTTCTTCATTTATTCAGATCTTTAAATATTTTCTTTAGTAAAGTTTTATAGTTTTCTGCACAATAGTCTTCTACATTTTTGGTTAGATTTTTTTCCCCTGGATATTTTATCGTTTTGTTCATATTGTGAATGAGAATTTAAAAATTACTATTTCTAATTTATTTACTTATAAATAAGAACATTATTGAATTTCACATTGGATTCTCATATTCATATAGTTTTGGTTGCATCTCTCAGGATTTTTTTTTAAAGAATTTATTTATTTATTCATGAGAGACAAAGAGAGTGAGAGAGGCGGAGGGAGAAACAGGCTCCATGTAGGGAGCCTGATGTGGGACTCGATCCCGGGACTCCAGGACTACACCCTGGGCTGAAGGCAGGCTAAGCTGCTGGGCCACCCAGGGATCCCCCTCTCACGATTTTCTGTGAAGATGGTTATGGTTTCTTTTTTTCTTTTTTTTTTAAGGTTTTATTTATTTATTCATGAGAGACACAGAGAGAGTGGCAGAGACACAGGCAGAGGGAGAAGCAGGCTCCATGCAGGGAGCCCAACGTGGGACTCTATCCTGGGTCTCCAGGATCACACCCTGGACTGAAGGCAGCGCTAAACCTCTGAGCCACCCAACATGCCCATGGTTTTCAAATAATGACAATTTTGTCACTTTCATCATTATATTGTTATATTTGTCTTTTTACATTTGTTAGTGCCTTTAGCGTAATATTGATTAAGAGCAATGCTAGTAGATGTCTTGGTACATTCCTGATGTTAATGGGAATTCTTCTCATGTTTTCTAGAAATCATGATGCTTGATACTGAATTGTCTAGATATTTGTTAAAGTTCCTTTTATTTATTTATTTATTTTTAATTTTTTTAATAAATTTTTATTTATTTATGATAGAGTCAGAGACACAGGCAAAGTTCCTTTTAGAAACCAATTCTTTTTTTTTTTTTTTTTTTTTTTTAGAAACCAATTCTTCAAGTTTTTCTCTTTTAAAAATCATGAATAGCTGGTCGAATATGTTAAATACCTTTCTGCATCTATGGAGATATTCAGAATTCTTTTAACTAGTTAATATAGTGAACTGCTTTAATAGGGTTTCTTTTTTTTTTTAATTTTTATTTATTTATGATAGTCACACACACAGAGAGAGAGAGGCAGAGACGCAGGCAGAGGGAGAAGCAGGCTCCATGCACCGGGAGCCTGATGTCGGATTCGATCCTGGGTCTCCAGGATCGCGCCCTGGGCCAAAGGCAGGCGCCCTGGGCCAAAGGCAGGTGCCAAACCGCTGCGCCACCCAGGGATCCCTAATAGGGTTTCTTTTTTGTTATTATTATAAGTTTTACTTTTTTATTATTATTGGTTTCTTCATTTCATTTGAAACTCAAGTATAGAATTCAATTAATAATTCTCCTTAATTGTGGATACACTATTATCATTGATGCATGGCTCCTCCATTGGATCATTTTACTTATTTTTATCTTACTATCCACAACCCTATTCCATTTATTCTATCCTCAAAGACTTTTGCTTTAAGGTGTTTATAATATATCCTGATAAAATAAAGTGTTATTTTTGTGTATGTCTTTGTGTTAATTTATATAAATGGTATTGTCAGTATTGTCTTATAGATCATACTTTGTTTCAGCTCTTTTCACTCTAAATATTTAAGATGTATTTTGTTGCTGTATATGCATATACTATATTACTTCTAAGTGTAGTACAGTATTTTAGATTCTGTATCCATAGCATTTGCTTATCTGTTATTCCCTTAAGGATGGACACCTAAAGTAACTTTCAACTTTCTGTAACTACAAAATAATTGTAAATATCCTCATGGTAAATATCCTCATGTAAGTTGCCTTTTGGTTTGTGTGTTAGTTTATACTCAGATGTGTGATTGTTGGAGCATATTATAATATATATATATATATATATGTATATGGAATTCATTAAGTATTGTCAGATTATTTTCTGTGATACTGCTTCAGTTACACTCCTCCAGTAGATGATGAGATATCATTTCTTTACTTTCTTACCTACAACTGCTGTTACCTTAATTTTTATTAATCTGATGGATGTTAAGGTTTACCTCAATATTACAATTAGTATTTCTCTAATTCTAGGGCTTTTCTCTGATTTCTACACCTATTTGCCTTTGAACTTCCTTTAAATGATTTGCTTACTTAAATCCTTTGCTTGTTTTTCTATTGAGATTCCCTGTCTTTTTGTTATTCATTTGCAGCTGTTCTCATGCATGCCAAGTATTGAGCTAGTTTTCCTAACACTATCTGGACATTAGTTGTGGTGTGACTTTACTTTTCTGATAGCTCTAAAAAGAATTGTTGATTTTCAGTTATTTAGCTTTTTTCTTGTTATGAGCATGGGATGATGACCCCTAAGCTCTTTACATGTGAGACCAGTGCTGTTGACTTTTTATAGATTGACTTTGTGTTTGGTAACTTTGCAGAACTTTCCTACTGGTTTTAATTATTGTTAATTCTAATTGTTATTAGATTTTCTATGTCACTTTCAAATAATTACAGTTTTGTATGTTTCTTTCCAGTTATTGTATCTTTTTTATTTTATTTTATTTTATTTATTTATTCATGAGAGACAGAGAGGGAGGCAGAGACCTAGGCAGAGGAAGAAGCAGGCTCCTCCTCACAGGGAGCCTGATGCGGATCTTGATTCTGGAACCCAGGGATTATGCCCTGAGCCAAAGTCAATCAACTGCTAAGCTACCCAGACGTCCCTCCAGTTATTGTATCTTCTATTCTCTCTTTTTTTTTTTCTTACTGCATAGGAATCTTTGCTAAGTGACTGCTAAAGTTCTATGAATCATTTCTCAGTATAGTGGTCATTTAGATGAACAAGTTATCTACTCACCCTTTGAGACTTTCATGGTTAACAATAATTTTTAAATGATTTATAGGCTCTTAAGTGATTTATTTTCTTAGGAATTTAGAATTTTCCCTCTCTGGTGTCAAATTTCATATCCCTACTTGAAGATTTAAAACCTCTTTTTAATTTTAAATGACCAGAATTTAGACATTAAGGTTCACAAAGTTTTCATTTTTAATGAGAATAGTTGAATTATTATATACTTGCATGCATGTATTGAGATGATAATTTTTCTTTTTAATGTATTAATGTGAATTTTGTTGATTTTCTAATATTAAACCACCTTTGGATTCTTGGCATAAATTCAACTTGGTCATAATACAAATTTTTTTAAAAGTTATTAAAATGTATTTTGTTTATTTTTATTATATGTTATTTTTATATATTCTTCTGGATTTGACTTGCTAATGTTTTATAATTTTTTTCACTGACTTTTCAGATATATAAAATGTGTCCTTTCAGACATTCAAAGAGTTTTTAAAATCTTTCTGCTTATGAACAAAGGATTTTCTTTTTCTTCTTATTTTTTTTTTATAGATTTTATTTATTTACTTGACAAAGAGAGAGCACAAGCAGGAGGTGTTGCAGATAGAGGGAGAGGGAGAAACAGGCTCTCCACAGATCAGAGCCCTGGTGCAGGGCTCCATCCCAGGACGCTGGGATCATGAACTGAGCTGAAGGCAGACACCCAACGGAGCCATCAGGTGCCCCACAAAGGATTTTCTTGCAATATAACAGTCGCTCTTTGTCTTTCTCAGAAAAAAAAAATCACACTATTGCTGTATTAATAGCTGAATTTACATTTTACTACAAAATTGTATGTTTCACAGTTAAATTCCTGAAAGGCTGTGTGTTGATTCAGATCACCACTATTAAGTGGTTAGTTCTCATATCAAATCCTCACAATACCATGTGCATATCATATTTTTGTGGGTATTTTTTGATGTCACAGGCCAAATTTGATTTCTTTGAAGGTATGAAAATAATTACTGATTTTTTTTTCTTTTATCCCCCCTATGCTGTACCTTTTATTCCCATCACTTCGTCCATACCTGGAAGCCTGTACTTCCCACTCCCCTTTATCCATTTTTCCCATCTCCCTATTCCCCATATTCATTAATTTGTTTAATAAATATTTATTGAATATATGCTATGTATCTAGTACTATTCTAGAAGCTGAGGATACAACATTGAAAAAAAAAAAATCCCTGCCCTGATGGTGCATCATGGTGATGATACTCTTAGGACCTAATAATGTATCAGAATATAAATAGGACTTTACTGTGACATTTCACAATTCATACAAAGTAGCATTCTTTCTATCTAATAGTCATTTCATACCTAGGATCAAAACTTTGATATATCACTGTTAATTAATAATAAAAAACAGATTTGACCTCCTTACTGTGTTAGACCTTTCTAATTGAAAAACTTTTATTGTTCATTTTGATAATTATGTAAACATAAAGTATTCATTCATAAGCAAGAATGAAGCCTAAATAATTCTATCACAAAATTACATTTGTTGTAGATATATAAATATTTTTATATGGCTTGGATAAATTCTGATTTTGTTAATATACCAAATGAATTTGTAGCATATTGAAAATGTTTCTTAAAATACCTTCAAGTAAAATACCTTCAAGTACATTTTCTTTTTTTATTGAGTTAATAAACGGATTTTTCAAAGAGAGGAAATAGTATATTCATCTTGCTTTACATTTAGCAAGTAATTAGTATTAATGAACTCAAGTAGGAAGTTTACAACTTTTGTACATTTACAAAGAGTTTGTCATAGTGTAGCAAATTCTAAATAAATGTTAACCAAGTATATGTAACATTAGATTTTATTTCTAATACACTTACTAGTTTAAAATATAGATAAAATCAAAGCTAATCCCCAAATTGCCAAACTGGTTGCAGTAATCGTGATGCCCAGAGCAGGGACACTGGAGTCCTGTGGAGGAATAAACTTGATTGCTTGTGCAATATTAGAAACCTCTGAAGTGACATTAGCTTCATGGATGGCTTGAATTGCAATATAGAATTTGGTACCATTTTCTATTTTAAAAGGTTCTAGTTTAAATTCAAAATGTTCTATTGAGCCAGCCTCCTTAGGTATCAGTCTGGAAGTGTTCACTAAAGCAGCATTGTCAAAATCTTCTCGGAGATCCAGGAAACACTTACTTATTCTTATAATGTAGCTGTTGGCTGGAAAACAAATAGATACTTCATGTATATTAAAATCACTAGGATGCCTTAGTACCACTATATTGTCTTATATTTAGAGGCCTATCAAAAATGCCAGTAGGATTTGGACATGGTAATGACAGATGTGGGTTTTATCTGGTTATTCCATCTTTATTTTAAGAAATATGCGGGCAGGTTTTTTTTTTTTCAAAGATTTTGTTTATTTATTCATGAGAGACAGATGAGAGAGAGGCAGAGACACAGGCAGAGGGAGAAGCAGGCTCCACACAGGGAGCCTGATGTGGGACTCGATCCCAGGACTCCAGAATCACGCCATGGGCTGAAGGCAGGCGCCAAACCGCTGAGCCACCCAGGGATCCCAGCAGTTTTTTAATCTAGTAATCTAATCACAAAAATTAATTCAAAATCATATAGTACTAGGGATGCCTGGGTGGCTGAGTGGTTGAGCATCTGCCTTCCACTCAGGGAGTGATCCCAGAGTTCCAGGATCAAGTCCCACAACGGGCTCCCTTCATGGAGCCTGCTTTTCCCTCTGTTTGTCTCTGCCTCTCTCTGTGTCTCTCATGAAAAAATGAAATATTTTTAAAAATCATATCGTACTAAAAAACATGAAATACAGATTTTTTTAGCAATAGAAATATAAAGAGGTGAATCTACTTTTAGAAGAAGGAACACAATAACTTTCAAGTATAGGAAAGACATTTAGTACCCCACATCTGTATTATTTCT